GACAACCCCTCATGGCAGCCCTGGGGAATCTCTGAAAATCAGTGTTTGAATTACCCCAGGCCGTGATTTTGGAAATTTCAGCTGAAATCGAGCCCACCACACTGTGCCTTGATCGGAACGGATGGAGATTTTTTTTTTTTTTTCAGACAGAGTCTTGCTCTGCTGCCCAGGCTGGAGTACAGTGGCATAATCTCAGCTCACTGCAACATCCACCTCCCAGGCTGAAGCGATCCTCCTGCCTCAGTCCCCTAGCAGCTGGGGTTACAGGCATGAGCAACCATGCCCAGCTAATTTTTGTATTTTTAGTAGAGACAGTATTTTGTCATGCTGGCCAGGCTGGACTCAAACTCCTATTCTCAGGTGATCCACCCACCTCGGCCTCCCAAAGTGCTGGGATTAGAGGTGTGAGCCACCGCCCCGGCCAGAATGGAGAGTTTAGAAACTAAAAAATATGTCCAATAGACAAAAGTCAGTTGAGTTTCTTCATATCAGCAATAATGGATGGAAATGATTGGGACAAAAACTATTAAAATGCCATTTACAATATCACCTCTAAAGCTGAATCCATTAAGTACCAATGTAACAAAAGGTATGCAAATATGCATTCAGAAAACCATGAATCACAGTTGAGAGAAACCAAAAGAAATATAAATAAATGCAGAGATGTTCCTTAATCCCTAACCTCTAACCCCCAACCCTAACCCCTAACTCCTGACCCCTGACCCCTAACCCCTAACCTCAACCCCAACCCCAACCCCAACCCAACCCCAACCACAGCCTAACCCTACCGCTACTCTGATTACTCTTAGCTCCAAAGCTAACCTGATGGTAACCCTCAACCATAATTTCTAACTTTACTTTTACCTACTCCAATTCTAACCTTAATCTAAACTTACTCTAACCTTTAACACTAATCGTAACCCTCACTAAACCTTTCATCCTAACCCTTCACCGTAATCCTGACCTCTCAACCTAACCCTGTTCCTCACCTGATCTCTCCCTCTACTATGCAGCTCCCAACCCCCAACCTGAACCTCCTATCTTGAAGCCCTTATACCATACTCTTTAATTGGTAAACCCTGAACCCTTCAACCCCTATCTCCTGATTTTGTAATACCCTGACACACTAGCTCTGTAAATACTAACTGCAGTCTATACACAACCTCATCCTGATCTATCCTATTTAGTGCCATGCCACTTCAAGGACTGATCTATAACCTCAGAAATGTCAACTTAATAATCTTCAACAAAATAATAGCAAATTTAAACCAACAGCATTTTGAGAGGATCAAACACCATGAACATGATTTTTTATCCCAGTAACTCAATGGTGGTTCCACACACCAATGCCATCCATGTAACACACAGTATTGTTAGGATGAATGGAAAACACCCCATAATTTTCTCAGCTGTTGAAGAAAGGGCTTTCAACAAAGCTGGGATTACAGGCATATGCCACCAAGCCCAGCTAATTTTGTATTTTTAGTAGGTTCATGTTTTCACCATGTTGGCCAGGCTGGTCTCAAGCTCCTGACCTCAGGTGATCTGCCTGCCTCGGTCTCCCAAAGTGCTGGGATTACAGGCATGAGCCACCATACCTGGCTGAAAAACCCATTCTATACATATACATTAGCAATGAATAATCTGCAAACACGATTATAAAAATTCTACTTCAAATAACACCAATAGCAATAATATGCTTAGGAATAAATGTAATCAAAGGGTAAGACTTAAAAGGGGGAAATTATAAGACATTGCTTAAGGAAATTAAAGCCCAAATAAATGTAAAAACATGTCATGTTCATGGATTTCAAGACTGTATTTCTTAAGTTCGCCAAACTACACAAAGCAATCTACAGATTCAGTGTTATTCCTATGAAGATTCTAAAGGCCTTGGGACAGAAATGGTAAAGCTGATCCTAATTTTCATATGGAATTTCAAGGAACCCTGAAAAGCCAAACCAATCCTGAAAAAAACTCCACATCTGGAGGTTTGCACATCCCAATTTCAAATGTTATTACAAAGCAATAGTAACCAAAACAGCATCATATTGGCACAAGAATAAACAAAAAAGATCAATTGAATTAAACTGGGAGTCCAGACATAAAACAATACCTCCATGCTCAACTGATTTTAGACAAGATTCATAACCATTAAATTGGGGAAAAATGCTGTCCTCAACAAGTGATATAAGGCAACTTGCTATCCACATAAAGGGACATGAAATTGTATCCTTACTTCATACCACATAAAAATTAACTTAAAATGGATCAAAGACCTAAATATGGCAAAAACTAAAAACTCTAGAAGAAAATGTACAGTTAAACCTTCATGACCTTAGATGTAGCAATAATTTCTTAGATCTGACACACAAACCACAAAAGAATAAATAAATCAATTGATTTCCTCAAAATTGAAAATTGTTTCACCTCAGAAGACATGAAGAAAAAAAGTTGAAAGATGAAACTGTAATAATAGGAAAAACAACTGTCTTCTAGTATGCTGTCAACACTCAACACAGAACACTTCTGTTAACAGATGCATGGGTTTGTTTCCCCACACAGACCAAATCTTGGGTACCAGCTGGGTGTCCTACAGTACAATCCAATTCTGACATAGATAAAGCATCGGACCCCATAGGCTAAGGGCTCAGTCCTAAGGACACAGGGCATGCCTCTTGCTGCTTACAAATTCAACTGACAAACACGAGAATGGTGAAAAGAAAGTGACTTTATGCCAGAGCTTAGCTGAAGGGAACATACAGGCACTTGCCTTAAGGAAATCGCTTCCACTTTCAGGGCAGAAAGCGGGAGCTTTAAAAGGGGGACTTGGCAGGATGGCATGCAGTGGATGGGGTGAGGAGGTGCAGGGTCTATGGGACTTGCTCTGATGTTTTATCCATTAGGTGGTCTTGCTAGCACCACCACGGGCAGAGCTAGGTCGTAAAATGACTGTTGTCTCCCGGCAATCTCCTGGAGGGGGAGAGTCCAGGGGTGCCTGGATTGTTTCAAGGTTTGGTCCCTGGAACTTGTAAGTAAACACACAGTTAGAAAAGTTTGCAGTGTAGGCAGTGTCTGATGGAGAGACAGTAAAGCTTATAATTGCATTCCTAAAGAGCTAAGTAGGAAGTGCAGGAAAAGAAAAATGGTAAAATTAATTCATTTCATCTTTAAGAAAATACAGGTACTCAGTTATAAGATGATAATCACAAATAGTAGGTTCCCAGGCTATCTTCTGTCTGACTTGGCTACAAATTGGAGGCTCCCACAACACCCTTATTGGGTTCATCAATTTGCTACAACACATTACAGAACACAGGAAAACAGTGTACCTACTCTTGCTGACTTATTACCAAGGATATTTTAAAAGTTGCAAATGAACAGCGAGATGAAGAGATGCACAAGGTGAGGTGTGTGGAAGGGGTGCAGCCTCCCGTGCCCTCTTCGGATATGACCTCCCAGCATCTCTCCATGTTCAGCAACACAGACACTCTCCCAACCCTGTCCTTCATTACACAGGCAGATTGGTTACAGCAGTGGCCATAGGTGATCAACTCAAACATCAGCACTTCTCCCCTTCACAGAGATGGAAGTGGGGATGAAATTTCAAATCCTCTAAAGACAAGGTGCCCTTGGCAGCCAGCCCCACTGAGGCTGTCCAGGTGCCCCCAGCCATCAGCCATCTCATTAGCATACGAAAGACACATCATTTCATACATTCCAAAGGCTTAGCGCTCTGTCTCAGGACCTGCGGCAGAGATGACCACACGCTAACTCTTATTATGCTCCAATAACCCACGGAATGGAAGAAAAAATCTGCGCATTAGATACTTCATAACTGTCTGTTACCCAGAATGTATAAATAACTTTTACAAGTCCACAACAAAACAACCCAATCTAAAAACTGACAAAGGACTTTAACACACACTTCACCAACAAGCACATGAAAATATGCTTAACATCATTAGTCATAATTAAAAACATAACAAGATATCCTTTAACTCACGCTAGAAAAGTTACACTAAAAAAAAAAAGTGTTGACAACGATGTGCACAAACCTGAACTATTAAACACTGCTTGTGACAACATGAAATGGTGCAGCCTATGGTAAAATGCCAAAATAATTTGGTGTTTCTTCAAAAAGTTACAAATAGATTTACCGTATGTCTCACTGAGTTCATTCCTAGGTATATACACCAAAGACCTGAAAACAGGTGTTCAAACAAAAACTTGTATGCTCTTTAAATGTGTCAAGATCATAAACATGCAGGTAAATCTTGGGAACAGTTCCAGGAAAAGAAAACTGGATCAGAATGAAAAAACACATTATATTCCCAGGTGGAGCAGGAGGTAAAAGTGAAATGAGTTTGTAGGCTGAATTTTCATGTAGGAACCATGCTGCTTTCCTGATCTAGGAGTTATGTGGTGGTTACCTGGGAGAGTGTCTGTACTTTGGGTAAAATATTCTGTATTTACACTGTAAATCTGGTACAGCAATAACTGATGGGGAATCTAAAAGAAGAAACAGGTTGTACTTTGTACTGCTACTGAAGTTTCCTAGAAACTTATTGAAAGTAAATTACTTTTTAAAACGACCATATCAATATCATACCAGAAAAGCAGAGACCTCATCAAAATCCATTTTAGGGGTTATAGTTCAGCCAAAGCTGTGAAACCCTTATAAAACTCTCAATGTCAACAGAATCCACTTAGTTGATATTATATTTATTAGTATTAGAGACTACTGTGTGATATATTAGTGTTCAGCATGGTGTGGATATTGTATTGGTGTTTGGGCATGGTGTGATTATTACATTAGAGGCCACTGTGAGAATATATATTAGCAGCCACTGTGTCTTGGACATTGACAATATCAGGGCGTAGTCTAAACAGTGGGATTTGAGGGTTTCATTTTTCTAGATGAATTTCTTTCTCTGCTGAGTACTGTAAAGACTATGTCCTCTGCACTCAGGGCTGTGAAAAGGAAGCTTTTTACTCACCAATGAACAACAGCAAAAGATGACATGACCCTTGCGCTGCCGGGAGGAAGATAAAGCTCCTTGCTGCTTCTGGCACCTCAAAGGGAAGTTGGTTGGGGTGGTTTCTCACGCCCTCTGGTGGCACCAGGGCTCAGAACAGATGCTCTTGCTCTCAGTTTCTTGGTGGACGCGCACCCCCTCCTGGTTGTCCTGAAATACCTATAAAATTCAATATTCAGTTTATTCAGTGTCATACTTTCGGAAATTCAAACCAAAATGAAGCCCACTATATCCATATTCTTCCCAAAAACGGGGATGGAAGAATTATTTGGAAGCCATATAGAAGGAAATGAATGTACACACAAATTAAAACACAAAAACCTACTCAAAATAGTCCAGAGACTGTAATTGGAAATGCAAAACTATAAAAATCTGAAAGAAAATCTATGTGACATTGGATTTGCTGTTGACTTTTAACACACATCAAGTGCCAATTCATGAAAATATTCACAACATGGACTTTATAAAACTCAATTTTCTACTGTGAAAAATCCTATTCAGAGAACAAAAAGACAAGACAGACTGTGGGAAGATATTTATAAAATACTTATATGATTTCTAAAACTGTATTGAAAATATACAAAGAACTCTTTAAAGGAACACTAAAGAAAAACTAAAAACCTAATTAAAACTGGATAAATATCTGAGCAGACACCTAGCCAAAGAAAATATACAGAGAGCAAGGTGGCTCATGCCTATAATGATGGGCATGGTGGCCCATGCCTGTAATCCCAGAACTTTGGGAGGCTGAGGCAGGCGGATCACCTACGGTCACGAGTTTGAGATTGGCCTGGCCAACATGGTGAAACCCCCTCTCTACTAAAAATACAAAACATTAGCCAGGTATGGTGGTGAGTACCTGCAATCCCAGCTACTTGGCAGGCTGAGGCAAAAGAATTGCTTGAACATGGGAGGCAGAGGTTGCAATGAGTTGAGATCACGCCACTGCACTACAGCCTGAATGACAGAGCAAGATGCTGTCTAAAAAAAAAAAAAAAAAAAAAAGCCCCCCAAAATACAGAGATAACAAATAATCACACAAAAGGTTGTTCAACATGATGTCTCATTAGGAGATTGCAAATTAAAATAATGCTGAGATATCACTGCACACCTAACAGAACTGCAGGACTCTTAAAAGAGCTCAACAATAACAATTGGAGGTTGAAGAACAACAGGTACTATCATTCATTACTGGTAGAATGCATTAATGGTACCGCCACTTTGGGAGACAGTTTGGCAGTTTTTCCCAAAGATAAACAAGTCTTACCTACAATCCAACAAATGTACCCCTAAATTGTATTATGATTAGACAGCTGCTTTGAAAAATGATTTTCAAACAAAAACTAGCATAATCAACTTGAAATACAACCAAGCAATGGAATACCCATTCAGCAACAGAAAAGAATGAACTTTCAACCCATGAAAATAAATGAATGAATCTTGCAGGTATGTTGCTAAGTGAAGGGTGGAATTATGAAAATGCTATACATTATATGACTCCATTCATATGACAGTCCAGAAAGACACAACTACAGAGATGATAATCAGATGAGTGAGTGACTGGGGTGGGGATTTGAAGTATTTGTATGATACTTTAGCGGTGAATACCTGACACTATGCATTTGATAAAACCCATAGAATTTTAAAGCACAAAGAACAAATTACAATCTACAAAAATTAAATTACTTAGATTGTGGAAGTATCTAAGGACAAAATACACAGTGCAACCAAGAATCTAATTGTATTACCAATGTATGTTGCAAATGGTGGGCCAAAGGTACTGACATAAGTCATTTTGAATTAAGTAGAGTCTACAGGCTAAAAGTAAAATGTACTATACAAAAACAGTAGACTATTTTATAAAGTTATTTCCCATAGGGGTAATAGTTAATTTTGAAACCACTATATCTGTAAAAAGAAAAATAACCCTGATTTTCCACTATACTCTCGACACTTCACTTCTGACAGCAAATTGGGGTGGGGGATATTTCCCACACCAACAAATTTTCCAACTCTTTGGACAACACTTGGGTGACATTAATTACCTGGAGTTCATACAGACCCTACAGGTAAAGGGCTTAGTAACACCAGACTATCCCTAACCTCAGATGCCAATCAAAAGTAGTGAATCTCCAGTTTACCCAAACTTCTATATGACATAGCTAGAAACTAGGCACTCCAACACCCACTCCTCAGGTTTGATAATTTGCTATAATGGCTTATGGAACGCAGGAAAACACTTACTTATTATGTTTACTAGTTACCACGGTCTCAATGTGTGTATATCCTCCAAATTCCTATGTTGAAACGTAATCCCCAAGGGATGGTATTCAGAGGTAATTGAGAGGTGACTGGATCATGAGGGTACTGCCCTCATGAATGAAACCAAAACCCTTATAAAATAATCTAGAAGCCCTTTTCCCCATTCTACCATGTCAGGACATAGCTAGAAGGCACGATCTATGAGGGATGAGCCCTCACTAGACATCAAATCTGTCAGACTTGATCTGGGACTTTCCAGATTCCATATTGTAGGAATTTTTATGGAAGCTTCATCATGTAGACATGATCGATTATTAACTCAATCTGCAGTCCCTTCACACCCCCCAAAAGATTACACATGAAGCTAACAGTTACAAGCTTCTTACCATGGCTTGGTCTTTCTGGTGAGCATCCCCCAACCTGAAACCATCCAGGAACCCACAGAGGGCCCTTACAGAAGACATTCCTACCAGTCAGGAGATTCCAAGGAATTTAGGAACTCTATATCAGGAACCAGGGCCAAAGACCAAATATTAGAACACAGGATGTTGCTAGCACCCCTATTGTTCAGGAAATTATAAAAGTTTTAGGAGCCCTGTACCAGGAACTGGAGACAGAGACCAAACATATTTCTCACTAAATCCCAACCTGGAATCTAGATAAAAAATGAATTCCTTGTTCCCAATGGAACAAGGGATGAAATAAATTGCAGATAGTGGGAGCCAGTTTACTCACTGTTAGAGTGAGAAGCTACAGATGAGAAATGGGGGAAGCCTAGAATAAGCTCTGTGATAATGGATCAGAATATACATAACGTAAGTATAAACTCACATTTAGCTTAATATATACACAGATGGTTCCAGGTAGGAACCTTTATAATTAAGTGGGTACATATAAGTTAGAATACACACATAAATTTCTTTGCACTGTCAGCTGTGAGGGTCATGATGCAATGACCACATTTAGTGGCCAGATATAAGTTTTTAATACCATTCTCTAACAGGGCTCTTGTAAAAAAAAAAAAAAATGGCTGAAACGAGTACAGGAACAGAAAATACATGAGCCAGGATACTTCTGAAGTAACAGAAATAAATTGTAAATAAATAAATACATGAAATTATGTCAAAAGGAGCCAGTGCAAAGAAAGAGCTCCCAATGGCCACAAAGTATGAACAGAGAGCAACAAAATACTGTAGAATTGGATAATAACCAAAAGATTAAAGTAACTATCTGATTGTGTATCTATTGCATGGTATAAATTAATGATTAAACAGATACACAAATGAGCTGAATAGAAATCTCTTATACAGAAGAATTCCAAATACCTGATATAGACAGTCAGCCATCAAGGAGGTGGGGCTAACTCCCCACTCCTTAATTGTGGGCTCTGCATGGTGACTTCCTCCAAAAGCATACATACAATATAGACATGGGGAAAAAAAATAACTTCACAGTGAGAAACGGGAAAAAACTACCTAAGCCAGGTGATCAAAGTTAACATTAATGGTGATAACACATCTTGAGAGCATGAAGAGACTAGAATAGTACCTGCAAATCAAAAAAAAAATTCAAAGGCCCTTCCCCCAACCATCTGTATAGACTCCCTCCTCTCCACCAGGGGACACCAAAGTTAACCTGGAAGACTGGTTCAGGCCATGACGGGAAAGAGGTGGTCAGACATGCCTCATTATGCCCTACTACCTTTCGGAATTCAGGAAAAGCCAATCAGCATTTAGTTTCTTAACAGACCTTAAATCTGATAAGAAACATTTACAATCTATTCTCTCTGAAGCCTGCTACCTGGAAGCTTCATCTGCATGCAAAACTTTGGTCTCCATAATACCTATCATAACCCAGACATTACTTTCTATCGATAATAACTCTTTCAACCAACTGCCAATAAGAAAATGTTTAAATCTACCTATAACCTGGAAGCCCCACCCCGCCCTAACCCACTGGGTTGGCTCAGAATACATCTCTTCAAATATTTTATAGACTTTGATTCTTTTTGTGAACACACTACATATCTGATCTGCTTCCCCCAAACCCATAACCCCAGTCTAATTATGACAAAAACACCAAGTAAACCACAATGGAGGACATTCTACACAATACCTGGCCAATCCTTCTAACTGTTCCAAGTCCTCAGAAGGAAAGTATGAGAGGCTGACAGCCAAGAGGAGCCTGCCATGAAGACTAAATGTCCTGTGGGATCCTAGACAGAAAAAGGCAGAACTAAGGGAAACCAAATAAAATGTGAGCTTATTTAATAATATAGTAACAACCAGTCATTAACTATGACAAATGATGTAAGATGTTGGCCAGGCATGGTGGGTCCTGCCTGTAATCCCAGCATTCTGGGAGGCAGAGGCGGGAGAATCATCTAAGGTCAGGGGTTCCAGACCAACCTGGCCAACATGGTGAAACCCCATCTCTACTAAAAATACAAAAATTAGCGGAGTGTGATGGCAGGTGCCAGTAATCCCAGCTGCTCGGGAGGCTGAGGCAGGATAGCTGCTTGAATCTGAGGGGCAGAGGTTGCAGTGAACTGAGATCACACCACTGCACTCCAGCCGGGGTAAGAAAGACCCAACCTCCAAAAAAAAAAAAAAAAAAAAAAAAGATGTTAATAACATATCTGATACATGCTGATATGTTAATAAGAGGGGAAACTCAGTTGGCTCTATGTGGGAAATCTGCATTTTCTTCCCAATTTCTGTGTGACTCAAACTAATTTAAAATAAAACCTTTATTTAAAAATTGTAATTTTTTTCAAATATCTGCTTAATTCTTTGTACTAATAAGTAGTAATTATTGACACTAACTACTCCTACTTTTTTGCGGGGGGGGGGGATCGGGCGGGTAGAATCTAGGTCTACCAATAGGCTGGAGTGCAGTGGCATCATCTCGGTTCACTGCAACCTCAACCTCACAGGTTTAAGCAATTCCTCTGCCTCAGCCTCCCAAGTAGCTGGGACTATAGGTACACATCACCACGCCCAGCTAATTTTTTGTAGAGTTGGGGTTTCACCATGTTGGCCAGGATGGTCTCAATCTCCTGACCTCATGATCCACCTGCCTTGGCCCCCCAAAGTGCTGGGATTACAGGCGTGAGCCACCACGCCTGGCCACTACTGCTACTTTTTAAAATAAGAGCATTCATGATGCTGCAAAATAAATTATGCAAACTAATATATAACTTCAAGGAAATGCCTCTTTTACATGTTTTATGTTAACACATACATGTAAACATATTTATCGTAACTTCTTTTCTCGTGGTGTGGTTCTCTCTAGGAAAGCTGGTCACCTTAGAACCAGGAAAAAAATTCACATTGTGGAGACTATTTCGATTTCGATTTACTGCTGAATGTTTTCAAAAGTGCGACTTTGTTAAAAAAAAAAAAAAAAAAAAACAAATAGCAAATTGTAACTCAATCGCTTATTCTAATAAATGCTTGTCTTTATTTTGTTTCCCAGCATTCCTTTTAGCTACAATAGAACAGAAGCAAGTATTTGCCACTGGGAAAAAATATTCAAAGACAGGAAGAATGTAAACAGAATTTGTGACCACAATCATTCAATGTTTCATCACAATGCTTTCTAATACAAAAGAGTTTAAAGGGATAGTCAAAGTTATTCCCCCAAAGATGCTTTCTGATGGAATTAGAGAAATAAAAGTGGCAGGACGTTCAATGTGACTGTAGATGCCACTGTGTCTTATGGGAAAAAATAATTTACCTTTTAGAAGATCAAAAAGAATTCCTGGAAGCCCAGACTCTGGAATGTTTCTAAATTTAGATGTCAATATAACTAGTAATGAATATGATAAAAAGGGATCTGGGCTTTGTATAATAAAATACCAAGGCAGTATTTAATGTTCCAAGGGAAAAAGTTATGCCTGAAATACAGTTGACAATATCAGAATCAAAATATACTTCCTGGCCAGGCATGATGGCTCACACCTGTAATCCCAGCACTTTGGGAGGCCAAGGCAGGTGGATCGCCTGAGGTCGGGAGTTTGAGACCAGCCTGACAAACATGGAGAAACCCCATCTCTACTAAAAATACAAAATTTAGCCAGGTGTGGTATGCATGCCTGTAATCCCAGCCACTCGGGAGGCTGAGGCAAGAGAATCACTTGAACCCAGGAGGCAGAAGTTGCGGTGGGCTGAGATCGTGCCATTCCTCTGCCCTACTACATCTGTAAAAATGCAAATTCACTGAGCCAGACTAAATTGTGTACTCAATGGAAGGCTGATCAAGGGTTCAAAAGAATTTAACCCTTTGTCTCTTATCTACTTCTGACATGGAAGCAGCCCCACTTCCTGCTTCTAGTTGTTCCACCTTATTGGACCAAATGACTATACATCTTAAACATATTGATTGGTGTTTCCTGTCTCCCTAAAACGTATAAAAGCAAGCTCTACCCTGACCACCCCACCTTGGGCACACGTTGTCAGGACCTCCTGAGGCTGTATCATGGGCATGTCCTTAACCTTGGCAAAATAAGCTTTCTAAATTGACTGAGACCCGACTCAGATATTTTGGGATCACAATCCACAGTCACCATGGTGTGACAGCTGACTACAGCATTCAGTACAGAGACGAGCTATACAGGTTAGCAGCCTGGGAGCAATAGGCTATACCATATAACTTATGTGTGAAGTGAGCTACACCATCTAGGTTTTATAAGGGCACTCTATGGTGTTCACACAAAGATGAAATCACTAAGGACAAATTTCTCATAAAGTATCCACATCGTTAGGAGATGCTTGAGTGTATTTTAAATGGTTAAAGCCTAGAAGAAAAAAAAAGAAACTGAACTCCTGTTATGATTTAGTAACAAAGATTAATAGAGTTAACATATTTCATCTAATCCAAGATGCCAATGATTAAAAGACATTTTATGCACCATCACAAATAGGTGGCCAATTAAACCGACTTTCTAAATAACAAAAATGTGAATGTAGTTCTATCCATGCCAGGAAAGTAACATTAAAGTGAATTATGGTTTTGCTGTGTTAAAGCAAAAAAGGAAGCCGTTAGCGTGAGATCTTCCCTAAGCAAACAGAAACCGAACTTGGAGGCATTTAAACTGACTTTTAAAAAATAACAAAGCAACCATGGTCAATGACAAAAAGCACGGCTGCCAGCCGGCTATATGACTATGGCCGCTGAGGGAACCATCCCCACAACAGGCGGTCGCCCAGCTGGAGCCAATGAGAAACCTCACTCAGCTGCCACTGCGAAGAGCTCGCAGCTCCAAACCGTTTTCCATTTGGTGCTTCAGGCATGATTCACGAACCTTTCCTTTGCTCAAATAAACTATTACTTATTTATTTATGTATTTATTTATTTTTTGGTTTTTTTATTTATTATTTATTTTTTTATTATTTTTATTTATTTATTTTTTATTTATTTGAGACGGAGTTTCGCTCTTCTTACCCAGGTTGGAGTGCAATGGCGCGATCTCGGCTCACCGCAACCTCCGCCTCCTGGGTTCAGGCAATTCTCCTGCCTCAGCCTCCTGAACTTTAAATTTATTTTGCCTAAAATTCGTCTAACCCCTAAGCCCTAAACCCTAGCCCTAACCATACACGACTTCCTACGTTTGCACTGATGTTTCGGTGCTGATTACTAAGAGTGCTGTATCAGCCAGGCCGCGCGGGCAGTGCGGATGTGATGGTAACACTGTGGCCTGGGACCGTGCATTAGCCTCACGGGCGTTTTCTACACGAACACCGCGGGTGTCGTATTCGTATTTCGGATGTCTATCTGCCTTAGGAACGCTCTGTCTGTGCTCTGAGGCTGCGGTGCGGACCTCACACCGCGGCCGCCTGGACTTGGGTCGGGAGAACTTCCGCGCCCAGGATTCAGAGGGGCTTTTGCCGTTCAGGTTTCCTCGCCGAGACCTTCTTCCTGGTCTCCAACCCACAGCAGTCAGGCTGCAAACAGGAAGGATTTCACTCACCGTGGACGCGGCCCGGAGTTGTCCCAAAGCGAGGCGGTGCCCCGAAGGTCTGGGCTGAGAACGCTCCTCTGTCCTCTCGGTGCCCGCGCCGGGTCTGTGCTGAAGAGAATGCAGCTCCGACCTCGCAGCGGCCCCCCGTCTGTGCTGAGGAGAACGCCCCTCCCTAGACTGCCATGCACGCCGGCGCTGTGATGCCATGACGCCGTGACGCCAGCGCCGTGACGACGTGACGCCGGGCGCCGGCGCCGTGACGACATGACGCCGGCGCCCTGTCGCCGGGACGCCGTGACGCCATGACGCCGGGACGCCGTGACGCCATGACGCCGGGACGCCGTGACGCCGGGACGCCGTGGCGCCATGATGCCGGGACGCCGTGACGCCGGCGCCGTGACGCGATGCACGCCGGAGGCGGAGCCTCAGGAATCTGAAAAGGCGGGTTCGGGCACCACCTGCTGGCGGCCAGTCACTGCAGGGGCCCTCTTGCTCCGGTGTGGTGCCCGTGCTGCCAGGTCCTCTTGCTCGCGGCATAGTGGCAGCACGCCCCCTGCTGGCCGCTGGGGGCACTGCAGGGCCCTCTTGCTCTCAGTGTGGTGGCAGCACGCCTTATGCTGGCAACCAGAGCACTGCAGGGTCCTTTTGCTCACGGTATGGTCCCTGTGTGCCCCCTGCTGGCAGCCAGGGATGCTTCACGGTCCTCTTGCTAACAGTGTAGTTAATAAAATTAACAGATTCTAATTTTATTTAAAATGGTCAAGGCCCAGAAAACAGAGAGGACTAATTTTAATTAATTTCATGGTATAATCTTGAAGTTTGATACAGTTCATATATTTCATCAAATGTAAAATTTCAATGTTTATAAAACATTATTGCCAGGCACGGTGGCTCATGCCTGTAATCCCAGCACTTTGGGAGGATGAGGCGGGTAGATGACGACGTCAGGAGTTCGAGACCAGCCTGACCATCATGATGAAACTCCATCTCTAGAAAAAATATAAAAATTATTTCAACTGAAATCGAGCCCACCATTCCATGCCTTGATCAGAACAGATGGAGATAAGAAGAACAAAGATGGGCAATAGACAAAACTCAGCTGATTTTTTTTGTATCAACAATAATGTGTAGGAATAATTGGAACTTAAAATATTAAAATACCATTTACAACAGCACTCCCAAAATTGAATCCATTAAGTATAAATCTCGCAAAACATATTAAAACTATTTAGAAAACCATGAATCATGGTTGAGATAAATAAAAATAAACATATATAAGGCTGGGAGTGATGGTTCACACCCGAAATCCCAGAACTTTGGGAGGCCAAGGTGGGCGGATCACTTGAGGTCGGGAATTTGAGACCAGCCTGACCAACATGGAGAAACCCAGTCTTTACTAAAAATAGAAATTACCCAAGTGTGATGGCACATACATGTAATCCCAGCTACTCGGGAGGCTGAGGCAGGAGAATCACTTGAACCCGGGAGGTGGAGGTTGCAGTGAGCCAAGATCGAGCCATTGCGATCCAGTCTAGGTAACAGGAGCTGAACTCCAGCTCAAAAAGATTTTTAAAAATATATATGTATATGTAAATGCAGAAATATTCCTTGTTTTAGAGAAATACACTCATTATTCTGAAGTTGACAATTATTTCAAACTTCATCTATAGATTCAGCCAAATCACAATCAAACTACTGCCTAAACGCAGAAAGGATGACATAAGGCTGAAAAAGAACAAAGTTTAAAATACTACACAACCAGATCTAAACAAGTAAAACCACAGCAATAAAGAAAATGTGATATTGATGAAGGAGTAGATACATAGATAAGTGGAACAGAATAGAGAACCCCATAATTCATTTGACCTCAAGTCAACTGATTTTTTTAAATGGGGCAAAGGGAGGCCAAGGTGGGTGGATCATCTGAGGTCAGGAGTTCGAGACCAACTTGGCAAAACCTCCTCTCTACTAAAAATACAAAAATTAGTGGGGCGTGGTGGCATGCACCTGTAATCCCAGCTACTCAGGAGGCTGAGGCAGGAGAATCACTTGAACCAGGGAGGCGAAGGTTGCAGTGAGCTGAGATCACACTACTGCACTCCAGCCTGGGCAACAGAGTGGGACTCTGTCTCAAAAAAAATTTTTTTATAATAAATAAATAAATAAAGTGAAACAAAATCAAACAACAACAACAAACCCCTTCCTTTCTCCACTACAACTCTCCACTATGGGGAGTCGCTAACCAAACTATTCAAACATCACAAAGAATCTCTCAATGCTTCTCAACAGAACCCCTGAGGGAATTCCAGATACTTCTATTTTTTATTAGTGATAAAGCTCTGTAACTTGCTATGTTAAACACCCATACCATCCACACCTGCTTTTCCTGGGGTGTTGGCCCAGCTCACAAGGGATGCCTAAGCCCAGGCTGCCTTCTGAAACTCAGGGAGCAGCCTGGCTTCCAAGAACACAACACGGGAGACCTGTCCATTTGAACACTGCACCTGGAAGAAACACAGTGTTGCAAATAGAGGCTCCCTCTGCCAGGCTCAAGCCTGCTCTCCCATCTGGGTACCTCCTGATCCTGTAAAGACCCTCCCACTCTGACTCAGGAGAGAATATTGCCCCACAGCACCCCCCACACACCCAGCCCTGGGTTGACTAACATCCAGCCATAAGTCATTCCTGCCCCTTGTTTATCTTTTCTCACTTTATTCACTCCAGTGGCACTAGCTGAACCCTCCTCATCACCATGAGCTGTGGATCCAGAAGTGGAAAGCAAAACACAGTGCTCAGAGAAGACCTCACCTGGCTAGGAGGCAGGGGCTGGCTCTGCTCAATGGCAAGCAAACAAACAAACAAACAAAAAAAACAGGGAATTCAGATGGAACTGAAAGATCCAGGGGGCTGGAAAAGATAATTCAAGGACAGGCTGTGTCTCGGGGGACACTCGGTGACCACACACACCCAATACTCCTGCCCACCAGGACAAGCTCTAAGGGACATTGGTTGAGTAGATCCACCCAGTCCTCTTTCTACCCATTAGGATTGGCGCTGTCTTGGGGGGCACTGAGTAACAAGACCCAACGAGTCATCTTCTCATCAGGAAAGGCTCTGTCCAGGGTGACACTGAGTGACAAGACCCACCCAGTTATCTTTCTACCCATCAGGAAAAGCTCTTTCTCAGGGAGACATTGGGTAAACAGACCCATCCAGTCCTCTTTCTGCCCATCAGGTGCCATTGTAAGTGCTTGGCAGTGATCATGACCAGACTCTCTTCCAACAGGATCCTGAAGCGAATAGAGTGTTAGGAGGCAAATGTGTTACACATGGAGCAGAGTCACTATGAGGGTCACAGAGGGCAGCTGTAGAGAGGGTCAGAACAGGCACATGGAGGAGGAGCTGGAAATTACAAAAGTGAACAAAGCGCCGTTTGCTAAGACGTTATCAGCCTGGGCTCTGACACAGACAAGAGGCCATTACGACCAAATCAGAGAGCAGGCATGAGAGCAGAGATGGACTAGTACATTTAGGACATGTTATTTTCCCCTCTGAGTCTATGACGCTAGAAAACAAGCATTAAAATGCCCTGATCTCAGACACAGGACAACAGGTCCAGAGGGTGAGGCTCATGCTGTTCTCCTTCCTGTCCACCAGAGAAACCACTTAACCCAATGTCCAGCTGCCTAGGGCATTCGTAGGTCAAAGAGACAGTACAAAAGTGTCCCCGAGTGGAGCAGGCAATGAGGAGAGCCCTGCTGAGTGGGCAAGATAAAAAAGGGGCCGTGGACCACTAAGCCTGTGAGGAAGGTGCACAGAGTGATTGGCAAAGGAATCCTGATGCTTAAGGCATGGCAGGGAAGCAGGCAGAGAGAGACCGCCCTGGTCCCAGCTCCCACGGGGCTGCCCACCCGCAACCCTAACCCAATCCATACACCAACCCGAACCAAGCCAGAATCCAAACATGAATCCTGACTTCTAACCCCTGAACCCTAACCCCAACATTAACCCTAACCCTATAATAGCTCTGCATGGTAACTTCTGACGTGGATTGAGTTTTATCTGTTTATGCACAGTTATGAGCATCATGGAAAGGAAGACTTTCCATGGCTCCCTGGCACTTGAGGAAGGGATGGAGCAGTTTCTGCACGTTGAACATACATTAGGCTGCTGCTAGGAATTCACAAACACCACAGCTTTTAATCCTCCTCCAAGCTATATGTATTGCCCCCTTTTTAAGTGAACCAGTGGTTTTTTTCCTCATTCAAGCTCACAGCTTAATGCTCTTCATTAAATCTCTTTTCATGCAACATTAAATTATATGGGAACCCAAGCTTTGGCCAAATAGCCTTGGCTTAAAAATCTTTCCCTTTACCTGCTATGTGACATTGAAATAATCAGGGAATAATACTGGACTTAAATCATTAACATGGAAAATGTCAATAATTATGCCATGTGAGCCAAAGAGGTATGCTAATGATAAACACTGTCTATAGAATCTCTGACTTAGAATATTAGGTCAGTAAAATGTAACTGGTGTAGTTTGTCACGAGTAATAATGTTACCTTAGGATAAAAACGTGGTTACAATATTCTTGAATTTTCCTGAAGTGTCACCTCTACCAATAATTCTTACTATCAATATTTCTCTAATTAAAGTAACTAAGTAAAATATATATAACATCATACACTAATACCTAGGCATAGTTTTTAATACATTTATTATTTTTACTGTAATCCTATGACATAAAAGAATACTGAAACTTAGAATGGTTAGTTTGTCTAAAATCAAACAGCCTTAAAGTGGTATGATAAAAATATGTCTAAGAAGCCAGGCTTAGTGGCTCAGGCCTGTAATCCCAACACTTTGGGAGGCTGAGGCAGGCAGATCTCCTGAGGTGGGGAGTTAGAGACCAGCCTGACCAACATGGAGAAACCTCCTCTCTACTAAAAATACAAAAAAATTAGCTGGGGTGACGGTACATGCCTGTAATCACAGATACTCAGGTGGCTGAGGCAGGAGAATCGCTTGAACCCATAAGGTGGAGGTTGCCGTGAGCTGAGACGGTACCGTTGCACTCCAGCCTGGGCAACAACACCAAAACTCTGTCTCAGAAAAAAGAAAAAGCCTGATAATTGTACATGCTACACTCTTATTTTATTTTACTCAATTTCCTATCACTACCATGAAATTTATTAAAGTCTCAAAAGCATT